TTCGCCTTTCCGCATTATCAAATTCTCCAATTTTATTTCCTTATCAACTAATAGTAATGAAACAGCTATCATCCTGAAAAAACATTTATTATCGTTTACGACTCCACCAACATTTCTTTGCAGGTCCCTTTTTAATCCTTTAAATATCTTGTTTGTTCTTAACCCCGCTTTTAAAAAAGAACGTATTTTTGTTAAATCCTTTTCTGTTTCAGAATCTTTAAAATCTGATTTTTCAACATTTTCTTGAACATCACAATCGCTTTCGTTTTCGTCTAAATCGTCACCATCATCCTCATCTTCAGCTTCTAATAAAAGAAAATCATTCTTTTCGATATCGCTTTCATCTTCGAAATCTTCGTCATCATCTTCATCATCCGAACTCTCGTCTTCGCTACTCCGACCTCCCAAATCGTCCATTTTGTCGTCGTTCATTTTAAATATTGATATTTTCATATTTGTTATTCGTAAAATATGCACTCGATACGAATAAAACATTCTCCGAACCAAGTCGAAATAGTTTTGTTTATATAAATCTTCGATAACAGAATCTGCGTCATTTTTGTTTTTTATAACGAAAAGATTCGGAACTTGATGAAGAATATCTTTGTTTTGTGGTGTTCTAGTTAAATGTTCATCAACATACCAATGTCTTACAGTCGTTTTTTCTGTATCCAAAAGCATAAAACCGAACGCAATTCCCATTTTGTAAGGTAGTTGATGTACGGCTGCGTTATATACATCATGTATCGAATTTTCCAAAAACTGCCTAAACTGAACGTTTTCAACGTAAGGAATATTTATTTTTATTATGTCCCCGTTTTCTGACTTATGAGAATGTAACATAATTTCCGATGCATTGTCTAAATAAGCCTGTTTTACCATATCTCTCCATACCGATCGTACCTTTTTGACAGCGTTCGTTAATATATCTTCCTGCCCTTTTTCTTCGTTATGTTTAGAACTAGACGCCTTCCCTTCACCCAATAAATCACCACTCGTATCATACAATTCCATTAATTTAACTTCTTTATTTACAGCATTTAAAAAAAAATGCTCCTCATGAATTGCATTTATGTCTTCTCTCCAAGGTTCATATAAAAACTTTAACCTATTTACGAACTTTCGAACAGAACATTGTGTCGGAACCGCTTCTATTTGGAATCCCAAACGACCGTGATTTTTAAGCATGTGTTTGTTACACAACATCAAAGAACTAAACTCCAACGGACAATGTTCGCATTTAAAAGATTGTTTACAATGCCTTTCTTGATGAAGAAACAAATCCTTCTTTCGTAAAAAACCATAACCGCAAAAATTACAACAATTCTCCGAATGTTCCTTCGCTATATGGCTACGAAGTTTGTATTTTGATCTAAATTCACACTGACATAAATCGCATTGAAGTGGATTAGTATGAACTTGTGTCTTGTGCTTTCTTAAACTACCAATCTTACGAAAAACTTTACCGCAAATATCACAAACATGTTCCTCGTTGTTTTCGTGATAAATTGTTCGATGTAAAGTCAAAGAACGAACAGTCGGAAAAGATTCGTCACAATAACGACAATGAAAATTCCTCTCATGGTATAATCTCTTATGCTCCGTCAACGTATTCTGTGTTTTTAAAACACTAGAACATAAATCACAAGAAAAGTGCTTCTCTTTAACATGTATATCATAAGACTTATTATCAGGAAATTCTAACGAACATATTTTGCAAAAAACCATATTCGTAAAAGTACCTTGTATGATGAACCAATCTCTTTATCTCTTATGAACCTTTGCTCTGGCCCCAGACGCTCTGACTGAATTGAAAAAAGCTCTCGCTTTTATAGCTAGACCGAAGTATTGTATGCTAATTTCAAACTATTTTTAAAAAAGAGACGTCATTATTACTGAACAAAAAAATTTGAAGTTTATTCATTTTCAAAGCTAAAAAAAATCTAAGTTATTCCTTATTTAAAAATTAAAGTTTTTTTTCAAAAACCAAAATTTGAAGTTCCTTCGAATAACTTCAAATAAAAAAAACTTGAAGTTTTTATAAATTTGAAGTTTTTTTCTTATTTGACTTTAAACAATAGACGCTTCTCAGTAACCAATCATATGAATGACATTTTAAGATTTAAAATATTAGCCAATAGTAAAGCTCCACATTTAACATCCGTTGCGTAATATGTCAATCATTTATAAAATCACTTAACCAACTCCCAAATTCACAAACTGTCACACCAACGATCGTAATTTTGAAAGAAGTCGAAAAAAAATGACGAACAATCAAGCATTCGAAGTAAAAAAAGCTATCGATTCAGCCTTTACGGACGACGAAGAAGATTTAATTCCGTTATCTTTATTGTCCAAAAGACTACTGACATCGTGAGTATATTTCTTTTCTTTTTACTCTTTTTTAAACTGTTCATTTAGTTTAATTAACTTACACATCTTTTAAAAACACTTTTCGAATTTTTTTATTAAACTTCAATTTTTTCATTTAGACGCCCAAATAAAAGAACATCAACGTCGGAAGACGAATCATCACCCAAAAAGAAATGCGAAGGTTCTGTAACTGTAAATCATGCAGAAATATCAAAAGAGTTCAATCGACTAAAAGAGCTACTAGAACCTTCATTCCCTTTAATGCCATCAATTCGAGCACTCGTCCCTCCAGATATGGATACAGACGCTGAAACAACGCTCACGGCAAACGAATCAGCAACAGAAGTAGAAAACTTCAACGAATCTACGCCAAAACCAACCAAAGTTACTCCAACAGCCCGAAAATCCTTTCCCGCAGCACGAAGTCCACCTACTCCACTAGCCTTCGAGCCGCAAACGCCACCTATTTCAGAACCTGATACAGAGCCTCAACAAGAAAGACCAACAGTTCCACAACCCCTGAACATCTTTAACTTCAATTTATCTGACGATGTTCCAACTGTGAGTAGAGATTTATCTAACTTCCCTTTTAACATTCGACAAAATGACCGTTTTTTTGAGACTTTACAGCAAATTGGCTTAGCTATTGATAATCTAAAAGATTTTTCATTATCTCCTTCTTCTGACGATCATCTTTTTGCTACCTTTTTACCACATTTGACTAATCGACTCGAACCTTTAATGCTGAAATTAACTGGACAGAAATTCGGTATATTTACCAACTTGAAACAACTTTCAATATACTTAATCGATCATTTTATTTTCGACATTCTGAACATTTGCAAATATCTTTTGACGGACCAACTAACAAAATACGAAAACAACGGTGCTCGACTAAAACACCTTAGATCGACTATTAATATTAACTACATTACCAACCCTAATAACCCAGATTTGATTGCCGAATACAAACGGAGAAGAACTACACAAATTCAAATTGGCAGTTCAATAAGAGAAATGATGCACACAGTAAACAATGTCACTTCATTAAAAAGAAGTATCATATATGAAGACCCGTTGTTCGACTGTCACGATGCAATAAGAGTAACACTATTGTGCGCAATAGATGAAATCATGTCAAAAACTGCCATGACTGAAGCTGAGAAAATCAAAGACATTTTTATTCATACGGTTATGTAAAACCAACTATATATGAACATTTTAACTAAGTAGATTAGTAACTACATTTTTTTATTATTGAAGTAACTTTTCTTTATATAAATTTGAAGGCGTTGTAAGAATTGTGATCATTTTGTCTCTATCTTCAATATACTCAACATTTTTTTGCAACAAATCTAAAGCAGTAAAATTTTCGAAATTTCTCAAACTTTCGTTCAAAAGTGAATCGCCATAAGAATGAAGTAAACTAACAACAGTTATACAATCATCGTATACTGCCAGATGCAAAACTGACTCTTTTCGATAATTTTGCTTGTTTAAATTGCAGCCACATTCAACCAAAAATTGAATTACTTTGCATTTTCTTTTACGAACAGCAATCATTATAGGAGTTTCGTGATTTATATTTTCCGCTTCAATATCGGCTCCATTTTTTATAATATGTTTTAATAACCATCTATGTTCCATCCAAGTAGACACATCAGTTTCTTCAATGTTTGGAATTATTCGATGTAGAACAGTATTTCCATACTTATCGCGATCATTTAAACATGTTGGATCATCTTTTATCATATATATAATTTTATCCAATTGTGAAAGTTTTTTATCAGAAACCAATTTTAACAATTCTGTCAACTCTCCCTTATGTTGAAGCTTTTCTTCAAAATACTGTATTGAGAACTCGTCTTCATCCTTCTTTTCAGAAAAACTCAAAAAGAACCCATAATTTTAAACTTCAACTTTTTTTTACAAAACTTCAACTAACCTTCAATTTTTAAAACTTCAAATTTATACTCAATTAATAAAAAATTGAAGTTATTTTAACTTAAATACCAGTCCAACAAAAATTAAATCAAAGTTGTGAAATATTATTTTTTAAATATATAACCATATCTTTAAGAATATGTAAGTTATCTTTGTCGGCTTTAGAAACTTCAATTTCCTTTTGAGAACATTTCTTCTCCAAATCTTCTTTCATTTTTACTGCAAGTTGTAATGCTGTTAAATGTTGGTTGTTTTTCTTCAGAGGATCAACATTAGAGCAAGAACTTTCAGAACGTCTCAAAAAATAACACCAATTGCCAACAGCATAAAAACCATGCAAATGTAAAGACATAACAGCTTTGTGCAAAACACTATTTCCGTCATAATCACAAATAGACAAATCCACCTGATTGCGAAAAAGATAAGAAGTTAGCAATATTTGCCCCTTCTTTATGGCAATCATTACAGGAGTTTCTCCAGCGTTATTTTGCACATTTAAATCCGCATTATTTCTTATAAAAATTTGAAAGAAATGTTCAAAAGTTCCCCAATCTTCTTTGTCTTCGTCCCAATATTCACAAACTTTATGCAACAATGTATCTCCTTGTTCATCTCATTGCATCAAAACTTCCACATTGTCGCGAACTCTCATATATATGAACAAACGTAATCTCCAATCTAAAAAAGGAGAAATTCTTCTGTCAAAAAGTTCGAAGATATTTCTTTTACTCTTACAGTACCTTTGAAGACCTTCAGTCGGAAAATACAAATCAGGATACTCAAGTTTGTCGTTCGTCTTTTCAGCCATCTCAAGTTTGTTGTTCGTCTTTTCAGCCATCTCGATAAAACTAAAAAAAAAACCTTACGGACGGTCTTTTATACAATTTTGCCTCTGCGGAGCAGCCTGTCACGTGGTCTTATACAGGACCCTACGCAGGAGCGCTAGGTTTAGTATGCAACAGGTGGAACCCTAGTATACACTACTCCTATTCATAGATTTTTGTTGATTTTTCCGCTTCTTGATTTCCTAGTAACTTGATCACATGCTAAAATTTACTTAATCTCATTGGTTCAAATACCTTTCGACCGCTATCGATCGAATTCGATCGACAGAAAAATTCAACTGGTTTGAACTTTTCAACCGATCGAATTCGATCGACAGCGGTCGATAGCGGTCGAGGGGGAGTCCGCGGCATGCTATCTGCGCATGTGTGAAATCGATCGATATCGATCGAAATAGATCGATTCGACCGCTTTCGTTTAAGTGGAAACTGGCCTTTAGACACTGATTTACAAAAAAAGTGAAAACATCATTAAAACATCAATTCTTAAAAAAAACAAACAAATACCACCATTCGAATCGCTTTGATGCGATCTTTCATTTGATGTTATTCATTTTGATGTTCAACATGTATTCAATTAGTTAATTTTCAAAGATTCAGTGAAATTGAAGACTGTGACGTCATTATGACATCACAGCCACGCCCAATATGAAGATTAACCACCACACAAGATTCCCCTTGCAAAAAGCTTCAAAATGAACCTTTGGCCCCTAAAATACTCTATATCGTCTGAGAGTTATGACAATAATGCCTAGAAATTGCAACACAAAATGGAGGGTCGGACTGGGCTACATAGACATTGCAGTACCAGAAATTGTAAAACCCTTGAAAATGAGCCTTGCTAAACCCTAGAAGAAACCAAAGCTACTCTATAGTATTTGTCAGTTATGACAATAAAGCTTGGAAACTAAATCACAAGATGGAAGGCAATGCCTTTTTAGACAGCTACCTCTGTATTGGAAACCGTGACCAATCTTCTATTTCATTATATGCATAACTTAAAATTGAAAATTTTTGCAAATTTATTGACTTTATAAATAACTTCAAATTCTAATCAGGACCCAAACTTGTCTAGTTAATTCAGTTAGAGAATTATATTGTGTGTAAGAAGTTAGTTACAGAAAGACCAAAAAAGGATTGTTTTAAAATTCTCTATAATTATTTACACACAACAATTCAAAATTTCAACGTACAAAGTCTAAACAGAAATATAACATCTAAATAGAAACATTAAATTCGAACTGATATTCAAATAATCAAGAACTTTTTGTCAGATCAGTTATATTTTGAGCATAAACAGGCAGGTAATGTTTTTTTTCCATTCTATCAACATCTCAAACAGCCAAAAATAAACCCTAAATTTATACTGATAAGCAACTATGAAGATTGAATAAAACTAACATGCAGAATATGAAGGAATGTTGGTCATATAATTTGAAAGAAAACAACAATTTAAAGTTTTTTCCATTCTATCAATATAAATGTCTAAATAGAAGATTTGTGTTTTTTTCTTTCATTTTGAAATTTCATAATTTAAAATATGAAAAGAAACAAACAAACAGCGGGATATATTTAAAAACAACAAAACTACTTAGTATTATTGACTGTCATATTCGGGAAAGTTCCCGAGTAGAAATTATTACAAAAGGAGGGAAATTCCTTTCTATAAAAAAGAAATTCCCTCCTCTGCTTCTTGTTGGGACTTCTTTATTTTATTATCTTCACCTTTATTGTCATCCCTGGTCTGAAAGAGAATTAGAGAAATAAAAACCTTTTTTTAGAATTTCGATGAAAATGCAAGCATATATTGGCCTGTGCATTATATTAAAATATGTATATGTAACATAATTTAAACACTGATAAAGATTTCATAACAATCTGAAATGAAATATACCGTCTTCAAATAATTTCAATAATTTAAAGAATGATATATTCGCAGCGTATAAATTGAAAAATGAACAAATTTTTACTGTGCAACAGTAGGATTTACAATTGTGATAAGATAAATACCTAAGCTCCTTGAGCTTCTTTTTCTCTTTATTTAAGAACAGAATTGCCTTAATTTCTTTTATATTGAACTCTTTTGCCACAGTCTTCCTCATTTTTAAAATTTTTTTTTTCGAATGGTATTTCCTAAAAGAATAAGAATGTGACTATTAAGTTTTACAATACAACAGTATAAATTCTCTTATCTAATAAATACTGTAAAAATTGACACGAAATTCCCAATGCAAAGATTGACCATAAACTATATGAAATTTATTGTTAACGAAATTTGTATATAAGTCATCAATTTTTAATGAAAGTTACAAACATTTGCAAGGAAAATACTTGTATGTTTTGAGTTTTATGAAGTAAGCAAATAATAACCTTTTTTCATTTTTAAACCAAACCGTAACGGCCTTTGGCTGCGGTCACACTATACTTGTAAAAGCATCCTTTTTGCTAATCCGTATTTGCTCTTTAAATCATGCCAACCGGTCACATATGAGTTTTTACAAGGATGCTTGATCAAATGCAAATTGATAAAGTAGGGTAAATAAAGCATAGAGTAGTTGTAGTTTCACTTTTTACGATATATTCAGCAACAAACAAGCCAACTGATTATAAATTTAAAAGATTACATGTTGACGGCGCGACTATCTCTTTTGCCTTGACTGTGTTGCTTCTGATGTTGAGCGAGCGTGTTTTTTCGGGCGTCACCACCGGAAGACGTGACCAGCACGTGGATACCCAAAGAGAGGGAACTGGGACAGAGGCCAAACCCAAGGAAAGGCGACACTTCTAAACACACTCCCCCGATTTGATTCACTACAGTGATCAAACTAAACTAAGTTAATTAAGATATAATACGATAAGTAATAACTGGAAATGTATATTAAGTATACAACAAATGTCCATACAATAGCGTAATAACGTGATAATGTTCTTCATATGATTTAGCTCTTACTCGAATTATTTCTACGAATAAATTCTCCAATAATTCCTGCACTGCATTTCGACCTGGTTATAACTGAAGTGTCTCGCTGCAATTGCGCAGGCTGCGTGGGCGCTTGCTCTTGAGCAGAATGCAATGAATCAGAATGGCAAGGTAATTCTAAAGGTATAAGCAATTTTAATGGTCGACACAATACCTGATTACCGATCTTACCCTCTTTTGTGCATACCTGCACTCTTGCAGATCTTACACTTCCATCTTTGCCTGGTATAAGTTCCTGTATTCTGCAGAGCTTCCAGAACATTCTTTTATTTTGATCGTCTTTGAGAAGTACCACATCTCCCAAAGACACTACTGGTTCTTTTACATGAGATTTTGGCTTGTAAGCTTCCATTAATCCCAGCAAGTACTCATTCTTCCATCTTTTTGAGAAATGACCTAGAAGTAATCTGTTTAGTTTTGCCCTTTCTGAAAGAGTTTCATAGATACTAACCACTTCCAGGTATCTGTCATGGGGTAAATGAGACAAATTTCTGCCGTTAATAAGATGGGATGGTGTAAGGGGGTAAGATATACCTTCAGTATCATCATAAACATATGTCATGGGACGTGAGTTAATGACACTTTCTACCTCCGTTTAAATTGTAACCATTTCCTGAAAATCTAGCCTCGCTCGCCCTACTACCTTTATAATACATCTTTTCACACTTCTGATTAGCCTTTCCCATACCCCTCCTTGCCAAGGGCTCCTTTCTGTTATGTAGTTCCATTTGACTCCCTGTGAAACAAAGGTTTCGTGTAATCTTGGAGATCTAAGTAATTTCTTCACTTCCCTTGCTGCGGATTGGAACGTTTTAGCATTATCACTATACAGCATAGATGGTAAGCCGCGACGTGCACAAAATCTGCGAAATGCACGCAAAAATGATTCAACCTCTAAAGATTCGATTAATTCCAGGTGGATGGCCCTGGTTGACATGCATGTAAATAAACATACGTAATGTTTTTGAGAAACAATTTTTATCACTCAATATTAAGGGACCAGCAAAGTCCATACCTGTGTTGGTGAATGGGGGAGCATCGTCTACTCTAACCTGTGGTAACTGTGGTGCAAACTTAGTTCTGAAAGGAAAAGCTTCCAACCTTTTGCAAAGTACCCAACTACGAATGACCTTTTTTGTCATTTCCCACCCCGAGGTACCCAATATTGCTGTCTTAGTAAATTTAACGTTTCTCGCACCCCATTGTGGAAGACCTTCCGATGACATTCCTGTATAAGCAAAGATGAGTAGTGATTGCCTTGAGGAAGCAAAATTGGTTGTTTGGCCGAATCTAAAACGGAAGATTTGTTTATACGTGTTCTGCATCGCAATACCTGATCTTTATCTAGAAACAAATTGAATTGTTTTATATACATTGGGGGTTTTGTGTCTGGATTGTTTGAAGACAGTAGAAACTCAACATCATTGTTGTATGCACGAGATTGAATTGCCCTAATAAGAATCATTTCGGCATTTCTTATTTCTGAGACATCTAACATGTCTGCCTTGTTCTGTTGCGTTTGTTTTACCGCTGCTTTAAGATTCTGAATAAATCTCAGAACCCAAGAGAGTGTACGCAACACTTTACCTTTTGAACTGTAACGTGAACTATCAAAAACATTGCTCAGCTGTACATCTGGGTCTGCACCTGTACTTACCATGACATGAGTTACTTTTGGTTCAAATTTCACCTTTTCCTGCAAAGCTTCTTTGCTTTGAAGTTCATTTTGTGGTAGCAAAGTGGGCCAATTTTCTGGGTCTGATTGTAAGAATTTAGGACCCTCCCACCAAAAACGATTTGCAGACAACGAGGGATTGAACTTACCCCGAGATGGTAAATCGGCAGGGTTCTCTGGTCCTGGACAATAAAACCAGTTCTCCCTGTCCGAAAACTTCAAAATGTCCGAAACACGGTGACATACGAATTGTTTCCAAGGTTTGTCGTTTTTTATCCAGCACAAAGTGGCCATAGAATCGACCCAATAATATGTTTCTATGGGTAGGCCTAGCTCATCTTGTAACACGGAACAAATGGTTTCGACAAATTTCGCCATCAAATTTGCGCCGAGCAGTTCGAGACGCGGTATACTTTGTTTTTTAATAGGCGAAACCTTAGCTTTTGAAGCAACAAATTGTACCCTTACCTTACCAGTATTGTAAAGAACCCTTAAATAAACCACAGTGGCATAGGCACGCTCACTGGCGTCTGAAAAGGCGTGGATTTCAATTTTTGTAACACTGGCTTCTTGGTTAATGAAACAACGTTCAAGTTTAATAGCTGTAATGACACTCAACTGGGATATTAAGGTGTTATACTGCTTGAGATGGTTATCTTTGAGTGGCTTGTCCCAGGCTACCTTTTCAACGCACAATTCCTGGAAGAAGATCTTTAAATTGATGGTAAACGAACTTACCCAGCCCAACGGGTCAAAAATCTTTGCGGCAATTTTTAGCAAGGACCTTTTTGTTGGTGGCAAAGATTTTGCAAACTCAGAAATTTGCTTTAAATCAAGAAGAAACTTGTCTGAATCATGATTCCACTGAACACCGAGTATTTTTGAAATATTGGTGTTGTTTTTGGAATTTGGCGGACCGACAGAAAACTGTGTAAAAGACTGGTCGTCCTCCGATACCCTGGGAACAGTTTTAGAGGTACTTGCGGAGACACCTTCTAAAATATTGACCTTATCTCTTTATTATTTGTCTTCCACTTACGCAAATTGAATCCTCCTTTTAACAGGATTTATTTAGATTTCTTATAGATTTCTAGTGCTTCCTCAGTTAACTTGACACTACAAGACATGTCGTCAGCGTAAAGTCGGCTCAAAACCTTGACGACCTTTGGGTACTCATCTTCAAAGGAGGAAAAGTGTTGTCTAATGGTAGCCCCGAGGATTGAGGGCGATGGTTTGAGGCCAAAGGCTAAACGCCCCCAACGGAGCTGGATGATAGATGGATTCTCCTTGTTAATGTCGTCAAACCATAAAAAGCGTAACGAGTCACGATCAGCTGGTTTGATTTCTATTTGTAAGAACGCTTTTTCTATGTCGGATGTCATGGCAACAGAATGAGCACGAAATCTTAACAACGTATCAAACAAAGAAGGCATATAATTATCACCCAATTGAAGACAATCATTTAAGGAGAGTTGATTTGGCTGAGATTTAGCACTGCCATCGAACACAATGCGCAATTTGGTCGTATCATGTTCCTTTCTCACAACGCCATGGTGAGAGAGATAATGAATGTTTTCAGTAATTCCTTGTTTATTTGGAACATATTCAATTATACCCTTGTCTAATTGCTCTTGAAAAATTGAGTTATATTCTGAAAAGAGCTTTGGGTCCTTTTTTAATCGACTGTATAAACCTTTCAAACGAATCAAACACTTATCATAATTATCTGATAATAACTCATGCGAAATATCAGCCCTCCAAGGGAGGCTTACCTCATACCTTTCACCATTGAATTTGATGTCGAATGGGGTCTGTTCGTTCTTTTCATCTGATTCTGTCGATTCTGTTTCTGTGTTTTCAACAAGTTCGGGCAATCTCATTGATTCTTGTTTCCAGAACTGTTTCAACGATTCTGTAATTTCAAGATTCTCGCTGTTTGAATTTTCAAGCACATTTGCTTCATTGTCAAAAATAGAAAATTGATCTAGAATAAGATGAGAATGAATGTTAGTCTCAACATTGTTCGAAGTTGAACTTGAAGGTCCTGTTAACAGCAACCCCAACTTGCTGCTAACCGCAACAGGACCTGAATTACCTTTAATGACATCACCTGTAACAAAATCATAATAATGATCAGCACCAATTAATAGCTGTACGTGTTTTGTATGGGAATTTACACTGTCTGCTAACTTGAGTGTATGAAGATGCGGGTATTCGCTTATTTCTATGCCGCGAGAAGCGAATGGCGAGCAAATAGTGGGATAACTAAGTGCGCGGACTGGTATAACCTGATTTTCTACTTCTATGTTAATCGAAACTAACTCGCATTTTTTCTTGTTATACTTATCTGAACCAAAAGTGTTAATGTTTATCTGTTTCCGATACACTTGTGTTGGATGTGGTTGTCGATTGACTTGCTTTGAAGCAAGAACGCTTTCGCCTAATTCTCTGGCTTCAATTTCGCAACGAATAATTTCTAGAATTTCTTTGATAGGCCAGATGTCTTCTGTGACTTTCCTTGCGATGTGGATGGTGATTTCGCTGGGCATACGTTGCATAATAATTGGAATCAGCAAACCATCATAACTTTCTTGAGACATGCCGAGAGATTCAAGACCTCTGACATGGACGTTTATTTTGTCATAAATATAACGCAACTGAGCGACTTTATCGTTTGGGCAATCTTGCAACTTTAAAAGAGATTGCATGTGAGCACTTATGATTCTCTGCTTATTACCAAATCGAGTTTTCAATGTCTCGATAGCATTTTGGTAGTTTTCTTCGGTTAACTCGAGCCCCGCAACGACGCGATGAGCAGGACCCTCGAGCAAATTCATCAAGTAGTTCAATTTGTGAACTTCTGGTATTGTGTCGTTTGAGTGTACGGCACAGTTAAACGCTTGCCAAAATGAATTAAATTGTGTGATATCTCCATTGACCTTTGGCAGTTCTATTTTTGGTAAACGAACTCCATTTGTGGAAGAAACAGAACTGAAACTGCGATTCTGAGACTCCACTTCTGAAATAGCCAAAGCTCCTATGGCTGGACTTGGCTGGGTTTCTGTAGTTGTTTGTGTACTCGGGACACTTGGCTGACGAAGGCTAGGTTTCTTGAGCCCCTCGATGTGCTGTAAAAGTGTGGTAATTCTGATATCCCATTCCATTGAATCGTCAATTTCTCTGTCCATTTGCTCTAAAGGTATCTTTTCTAGAATTTTCTCGTCTAGGCCTGTAAGGAACTGCTGTTTTTGTGACACCGAAAGTGCAATCGAGTTGATGCGTACCGAAAGTTCTGCAGTCAATTCTTTGTCTTTCAACTGCGAAATTTCCTTCTCCAGTCTTGCAATGGCAGCACGATTTCCACCACGCGTGTGTATGAATCGCTTGATTTGATCTTCATCTGAATTTTCCTGTGACATCTTCGATGATTTCTTGGTTGAAATTACTCGAATACTCTTAACACTTTATTGATAAATAGCTCGCCCCACGTTGGGCACCATATGTTGTGAAGTAGGGTTGAGCATGCCGAGAAATAAAGCATACAGTAGTTGTAGTTTCACTTTTTACGCTATATTCAGCAACAAACAAGCGAACTGATTATAAATTTAAAAGATTACATGTTGACGGCGCCACTGTCTCTTTTGCCTTGACTGTGCTGCTTCTGATGTTGAGCGAGCGTGTTTTTCCCGCCAATACCCCTCTAGCAATGCTTCTGTGTTCGCGCCAATTTGAAATGTTTCTTTATTTGTTATCATCATGGAGTTCGAATCTTCTATCTTGTTCTTCGCCATGGTTTATCGATTTATTGCATATTCAAGAGCACCAGCTATTAGAAAGAAACAGATCTTGGCAAAGCGAGCTTTTCTTTTGGCCAGAGCACGAAAAACCGTTTCCTTTTATCAACGAACAGCTGTCATGCTTTTTGGGTTTTAAAAGAAGCAAATTTGCTTCGAACAGCAAAGAAGGTTTGGTCTATTGAAAGGCCTCAGCAATGGTTTGATAGACTATGGGATAATGTAGAAATTGATACCCTCGATGACTATTGAAAACAAGAGTCCAGATCTTATAAGCGTTCATTCAATGATATTTTTAATATTGTTGCTGGCGATATGGAAAAAATCGACACTAAGTTTAGAAAGGCGATTCCGATCCAAAAACGTGTAGCCATTACGCTATGGAGACTTTCAACAGGAAACAGTTTTAGATCAACTGCTGCTGTTTTTGGTGTTGGGAAATCTAGCGCAGTCGATATAACCAAACAATTTTGCAAATTTATTCCGAAAGGATCAAGCATTTTTATAAAGTTTCAAAGAAATGAGAGAAAAAACTTTTATAGCTTTGGAAAAATTTTCAGAGATTTGTAAAACCCCCCAAGTTATAGGAGCCATTGACGCCACACATGTAGAAATCATTGCACCTGAAAATTCGCCTATTGACTACTTCTGCAGAAAGCAAAAGTTCACAATAAATACGCAAGCTGTAGTGGATGGAAAATTGAAATTTATAGATGTATCAACTGGTTTTCCAGGCAGTATTCACGATGCAAGGGTTTTACGTGCGAGTTCAATTTATCATACAGCTGAAAGATATGATAAACCGACGATGGAGTAGACGCCTTGTTTCTTTCTTTAAAATAATCAATAACTTGACACCAGACTACACTAGAAGCCCTATACCCCAACTTCAGAAATCAGGCTAGATTCTTCGCAGACAGGCTTCAGTAGGGCAAATACACGCGAGAACTGAGAAATTTAAAGCTAGTTTTTATCCAAATTGTTTATCTGAATGGGAAAAACTCGACCCAGAGATCAAACAATCCCACTCAGTAAGTGCTTTCAAAAAACAACTATTTGCATTTATCCGTCCACCTCAAAAACTAGTCTACAACATCCACGACCCAAAAGGTTTATCCATTTTGACACAAGTTCGTGTTGGACTTAGTAAGCTGAATTTTCACAAATTCAAACATAACTTCAGTGATACCTTGAATCCTTTGTGGCCAGTAAATCAGGGCCTATTTTAGCGTGCAGTATTGCACACTTTGTGCAGTATTAATTTATAAACGTGCAGTATTGATTTCGAAAATGTGCAGTATTGAGTTTTGGGTTTCATTAAGTAGTTTTATAAATCTTCTCTCCTATGTAATTTGTCTTTCATTGTTCTTGTTTTGTTTTGTCAATGTAGTTTTTCCTTGTTTTTGTTTTAACATCCAAATTGTAAATGTTTTTAATTATTAGTAATCTGTAACATGTAATTTGCAACATTTAATGTAACTCTAATTTGAATCAAATATGTTAAATGTAATGGCCACAGGGTTGCTATGTATTTTCATGCTCCCTGTGGTATCGTCTTGTAGTTGTCTGTTTTGTAAAATTTTATGAGAATATAAAAAAAAGAGGCGATATTTTGAATAATCCACTCGCATTTATAGAGAACCAACCAGTAAAACCCTTCATTATTGGCGATGGGGCATATTCACTCAGCAGTTGGCTTTTAAAACCATACTCTGAAAATGGAGCATTGACCAGATCGGAAATAAAATACAACAAAATTCTTTCTTCTGCCAGGTCTGTTGTGGAGAGCGCATTCCGCGAGCCTTGACTTCAGCTGGTTTCTGTTTCCAAGTCTTGCCTTCTGTTGGATAACGGAAACCCCTCAACTCCATTACGTCATTTGCTTCAATTGACAATTATGTAATAATATTTATAGACAATGTTTTGTTTATTGCGTGGGTCGCTAGACGACATTATTTTACCTTATATGGACTTTTCTATTTTCGTCGTATGTATCTGTTAGTTTATATAAATGCTTGAGTAAAAGTTGGAGGGAGTTGGAAAATTGTCGAGACGATGTAAAAAATAGCGTTTTGTTAACGTTGACGTAATATCACGTGATCAAGGCAGATAGGGAGTAAGAGTTTTGAGAGTTGCACGCGTTTAAGAAAAAGGATTCAAGTTAAGCTTGAGCCATCGTTTTAAAATCGATATAGTTGGAAACGGGTTCTGCAACATAGGTAGAACATCAAGATTATGTTTGAGATTGTGGCCTTTCAAGCCGTTTAATCACACAAACTTCTTGAGCATAATAATTGGCAAGTCAGAGTGACTTGGGCCAGCATTTTCCCCACATGGTGCCGTTTTGCCGGGATATATTTTGAGTTTGTATATCGTTCAACGGAAATCTTTGCAAATAGTTAAAGAAAAGATTATTCGCGGAAGCACAGTTAAAGAAAAAAGTTAAGGCAAGAAGCGTTACAAGAAGATACGTTAAGAAAATAATTGATAATACGGAGAAGCTTTTGAAAGAGAATGGAGAAGAAGAAGCAAACAGATTGCTAACTAACAAGGAGATTTTGCTCGTGCAACTCGCTGAACTAAAAGAGATGGACAAATGGATAGTGGGCGCGATAGAGGTATCGAAGTTCGAAGATGAAGTTTTTGAGAGTAAAGACGTGGAAGCGTCAATACGATTTTGTATAACGAAAATCGAATCGCGGTTGAAGGTTTTGATTCAGAAAAGCGGAATGGAAAAGCAAATGGAGAAAACACGCCCACAAGGGAGCCACTAGAAGAGTAACAAAGCTGTCACAGCTGAAGTTGAAAGTTTTTACAGGAAATCTTACTGAATGGCCCTCCTTTTGGGAAATTTTTCGCGCTTCAATAGATTCCGATAAAACTTTAGAAAATGTTGTGAAATTTAGTTATTTAAAATCGCAGTTAGAAGGAGTTGCTGCGGATGCAATTGCGGGGTTGAAAGTTTCGAACGCGACGTATAGCGAAGCCATTGATTTGCTGAAAAGGAGATTTGGTGATGACCAGGTCATCATTTCAACCCACATGGATAAACTATTGAACATTGCTGCAGTAGAGTCGATGAATGATGCAAAGATATTGAGAGAAATGTACGACCAAATTGAATCAAATGTTAGAAGTTTGGGGGCACTAGGATTGCGAATTAGTGGCTATGGAATTGCTATCGCCGATTGTTATAAACAAACTCCCTGCAGAGCTTAGAATCGCTATAACAAGAAAAGTGAAAAACTTGGATTTATCGGAAATACTATGTTGTATCAATGAAGAAGTGCAGGTGCGTGAAAAATGTTTGTTGAGTAAAGTAACCGTCGGGCAAAGTCGTAAACAAACCCCCATGGAAGAAACAAAGGTGAGATGGGTGGCACGAAACAACCAAGCAACGACCGCCGGGTTGTATACAGAACATGGTATAGATAATGAAAAGTATAGAGCGATTAAATGCATTTATTGCGATGCAGCACACAAGTCGCATTTGTGTAAGACAGTAACCGACCACAACGTGACAAGGAAAATATTTGGCGCAAAAGAATCGATGCTTTATTTAATTGTGACCGGGTCATGTCGCACGAAATTGCCGCACCAACATGCGATGCTTGAAGTGCAACCGCTGACATCACTCTACGATTTGCGATTGCTATGTTAGAGAGGGGGTGAACGAAAAGACCAATGCGATAAAAGGCAGTGAGAAGAAAAACGATGCCTTAGAAGTTTCTCCACATCAATCGACAACGAACATGCACACAAACACGAGGAATTCGGTATTGCTACAAACCGCACGAGTGCCAGTGAAAACCCCCCAAAAGCAGAACGTGAGTACTGTCCGCCTGGTTTTCGACTCAGGGAGCCAAAATACTTATGTGACGTCAGATCTGAAAAATGCCCTTAGTTTGCCAGTGATCGGCAAGGACAAAATGTTTATAAAGACGTTTGGGAAGGTATCACCGAAGTTCACAACATGTGAAATTGTCCAACTCGGAATTGTGTGCAAGGATGGTACGGAAATCATGGTACAAGCATACGTAGTTCCTGTTATTTGCACGCCTATCAGCAACCAGTTGTTATCTACGGCTATCGAAAAATACGAGCATCTGCGCGGGTTAGACCTTGCGGATTACTGTGATGGAGACGAGCCAATAGAAAGGTGGAAATTCTGGTTGGAGTGGATTATTATTGGCATTTCGTTGGAGGTAATGTAATACGAGGCGAGGGAATAAGTCCTGTTGCTATGGAGACGAAGGTAGGCTGGGTGGTGTCTGGCCCTACAAAAATGGTAAGTGAAAATTAATCTTCACATCTTTTAAAGATTGATGCACAAGTGATTGAAACAGAAGACTGTTAGTAAATGAAATAAAAAAAACTTTTGGAATAATGAATCGATTGGTGTAAAGGACAATTCTGTAGAGCAGGGGGTGATGAAGAAATTTGAAGAAGATGTCCGTTTTATCGATTTATCGACCATTATTCCCTCGCACAAAAAAAGCTCTCGACGCGAACAAAAAGGCATGGTAGCAATAAACGAAGATGCTGCTGAAAACAATGGTGCAAATCTTCGGACATTGATAAAAAACTTTCTAAGAAACAACTGAATTCAAAAGAACCATATCTAAGGAAGCAGTCATAAATTATTGCAGGGACCGGGGTGGAAGCAAATGAGGAGGTATCTGAAAATTGCTAATATAATTTTATTGGGGTCTGAAATTTTAAGAAGGCTTCAGGCAGGGGTCTGAAAATAAACAAACTAAATTTTATTTCTTTGGAAATATTTTTTAAATTATTAGGGGCCTTCTTTCTCCTTTTCCCCTTTGCTTGATGTTCAGTGCCATACGTGCATTCTGATAACGTTCAAATTCCATTTGCTGCGAATACATTTGGTACTGAAATGACTGTGGTGGATAGTTGTTTTCACAAGAACTACCTGGAAAACTGTAAGGGTACGACATGCTTGTACAGTACTTTTGATTTTGCTTCTTCGATTTTTTCAGTGAAAGTACGTTAATGAAAAAAAATTTTTCGTCGCGTGTATTTCATTTCATGCCAACCCCAAGGAAACATCAGAAGTAGGAAACAGAACAGCTGGGATTTATTTATTTAGAACGCTTAACAAGTATTTAGATTGGTTTTGGGAAGCTACCGAGCATCCTAAAGCATTTAAGGGATTTTTTTGAGAATCCTAAAAGCCGGCCAAATTCCAGAAATATTTAGCAAGGAGATTAGCACGACACCTTTAAAGAAAGCATGCTTAAAAACCTAGTGTGACCGCAGCCTTTGGCTCTTCTTGGTAAAATTCCATACTATCTTCATTTTGAGTCATTTTGCTACAATGTATTACAAGAAGTCATATTTTTCAACTATTTATACAACTTTGCACACAAAGAACTCAAAAGTTCTAAAACATTTGTTGCAATTGCAAATTCGCCCGAAACAAATTTTTTAATAAGTAACAATAAAATGGTGGCCAAAGCCATTTAAAAGTATGAGAAAAATGCAAAATTCCGTCAAAAGAACACAATAAAAATCTTTTAGATTTAGTTATGTATTTTGTTAGTTACAACATACCTTTCCAAAGTAGGATCCCTTTCATGCACCCTGTTGTTGTGGAACAACAAATTAAAACAATGGTGCCTTTGTTTCCATTCAATTTTTAACCAATCGAAAGAGGCTGTAGCAAGACTGTATACAATAGGCTTTCAGCTTGCTTGTTTGAAAAGGAGGCTATTTCAAATCGGTTTGTTGAAAACGGCGTGTTCCTGAGACCTACTTGCGAATTTTGAAAACGAACGAACTCACGGTGAGTCAATCAAATTTAATATATACAACATGTAACATTTAGCCGAGTAAAAAATATATTCTTTTTACTCTACTTAACAACTGTGAATCAAGCCATTGTTCTTATCAAGTTCTTGCACAGGTTTTATAAATTTCATGGAAACAAATTTGTTGTTGTGGAACAACATGGTGCATTAACAGCTCGAATACATACAACAAAAATGAAATCAGCTGATCAGTGCATTCGTTATAAGAAAGACTTTTACAGCCATAGATTATATATTTTATACAGTTTTGTCACCTTTAAGAATTTATGTGATGTTATTTGTGGCATTTGCATGCTTTAGGTCTTTTAAAATAATAAAAAATTCTCAAAGTAGTTACACTTTTTATTGAAAAGCTTATAATATTAATTTCAAACAGATATGGCTGATGGTACATTAATCTCTACTAAGTCCTTTTATGGGAGAACTGTGAAGACAGATATAGTTGAGAACCAACACATAAGAAATCCAGTTGTTTTGGAGCCAGGAAGCAGTGAAAAAGAGAGTAGTGACGAAGAGGATGAATTAGATCTGTTTCCTTCATCTGGAAGTGAATACCAAAGATCTGAGGAAGAGCTCAGTGAATCTGAATTATATATGTCAGAAATTGAGGCAGATATGTCAAATGAGGTGTTAGGTGAGCAACAAGCTTCAGCCAAAACACAAATTCCAGGATCAGTCACTGGTATAAATTTACAGCAGAGTTCAGTCAAATCAAAATCAAAGGAAAAGAACATCCAAGAAATGAAGACGCGCTGGAGAAAAAGGACCTCACCAAAATTTTTTATCAATTTCAAAGGTCAAGAACTACCACAACCTCCAAAAGAAGCATTGAGTCCAGTTGATTACTTCAAACAATTTTTCAGTGAAGATCTGATTCAGCATATTGCAGAACAGACTAATCTTTACAGTGTTCAACAAACTGGGGCCTCTATTCAAACAAGCAAGAGCGAGATGGAACAATACATCGGTATTCTAATCATGATGTCAATAATAAAGCTTCCTCAAATAAGAATGTATTGGGCAAACGAAACACGTGTTTCATCAATTTCTGAAGTAATGACAGGGAAACGATTTGAAATTCTGAAAAAGAACTTTCACTGCAATGATAACACAAAGTATGTCCCTGCTGGACAAGAAGGCCATGATAAGCTATTCAAAGTGCGACCTGTTGTTGACTCAGTTCTTCAAAAATGTCGAAGCATTCCACAGGAGGAAAAACAATCTATAGATGAGCAAATGATACCAACAAAAGGTCGCACAAGTTTCAAGCAATATTGTCCTAAGAAGCCTCACAAATGGGGAATAAAAGTCTGGGCTAGATGTGGTGTCAGTGGTTTAGTCTATGATTTTGAAGTTTATAGTGGGAAATGTAATGACAAAGAAGAAATGCCAGAACTGCTAATGGCTGGAAATGTTGTGCGTCGATTATGTGATACATTACCACATAACATGAATCATAAAATTTATTTTGACAACTATTTCAGTTCATTGCCCCTTCTTCAACACCTAACCAAAAAGAAAATCTGGGTTGTTGCAACTGTTAGAAAAGACAGGATGAAAGGAGCACAACACCATCTGCAATCTGAGAAGGAATTGAAAAGGAATGGGCGCGGTTCCTCTGACAGTGTTGTGGAGGCGAATAGTGGTATAACTGTATTCAGATGGATGGATAATGGGATAGTGCAGCTGATCTCCAATTACATGTCTGGGGAAGATGGCCCTGCAGCCAGAAGATGGTGTAAGAAGCAAAGAGAATATGTACAGATTGAACGCCCACTGATCATCCATGAATATAATATCCACATGGGTGGAGTAGATTTGTGCGATATGCTTTTATCTTTGTATAGAATTGGCCACAAATCGGTAAAATATTATATGCATATTGTCTTTTATTGCATTGGCATCTCCATTGTTAATGCTTGGTTGTTATACCGAAGACACTCTGGTCAAATGGATATTCCAAAGAAAAAGCAACTGACACTCCTGAAATTCCAAGCCCAAACTGGTCATAGCCTGGCAAATGCAGGAAAGATATGTAAGCTAAAACGAGGAAGACCTTCCAATGATGTCTTGGAAGTACCTTGCAAACAGAGAAGACCTCCTAGTGTTGTAACACCCACAATTGATATTTGCAAAGATAAAGTTAATCATTTTCCAGAGTTTCATGAGAAGCAAAATAGATGCAGACATTGCAAGACAGGATTTTCTCATGTAATGTGCACCAAGTGCAAAGTGTACCTTTGTTTGGTGAAGAAGCGCAATTGTTTTGCAAACTTTCATTGAACATTTAAAGTTGGACGACACATAGACTAACTGTGAAGTTACTGTTTTAATTTCCAAGTGTTTGAAAGAGTTTCTGAATACTAACAATGAATCTCAGCCATTTCACTTGCATCCTTTATCTGGCATATCTTAGCTACGCTATTCACGGGTCAACTGTTTTTCAGGGGTAGACCATCAGAAAATTTGGATGTGATAAAAAATTATGATGATGTCAAACTATTTTTTCTGGTGAATGTTGGGCTCTGACTAGTCCCCCAGTCTGTCCACTTTAAATGAGCCTCTATACTTAACTTATTTTCTAGTGTTAGTAGCAAGAAAGAAATTCTGTATATGTTGGTGATTTACCTTTCATGCACAATGTTGTTCAAAAACAACAAATTCAAATGACGTCATCCTGATGTCATATCTAAAAATATCTTGTTTTTTGGCATCCATATTCCAAAAACAGCAAAATGAACCATAGTAATATTTTTTATCTCAATAATTGAATACTGGTGCATGAAAGGGATAAAATGAATGCTCTATAATAGCTCAGAGAACAAATTTATTAGAAAAAATAAACATACCTTGAATTTACAGTGAAAGAACTTTCAGGACTCAAATGTTATTACATAGAAATGGCGTCAGGAAAGAGTTAAAACGCGCAAAAATAATTTCCAATTTCGAACGCGATGTATCTTAATGGAATCAACAAAATACTTGCAACAAAATAACAAAATAACGACAAAATATAATGCAACAAAATAACAGTAAATCAATCAATCCATAAATGTCCAGTATGTTAAAAGTCCTCATTGAAGTCCAATTATTATGAAAATATATTTCAATCCATTCACGGCCAAGTCGCATAGAAGAGCACACATGTATTCTTCTATTCTCCTCCCGAATCAAGCACGATGGCGGAGGTGGCACTCTTGACTAATAATACATTATTAAGGCTTATTTTAGTTTAATTTTCTTTTTTATTAATAATCTTGCTTGTTTAATTAAGATAAGTTTAATTAATGATCTTGCTTCGTGAAGCCACAATACAACTAGGCTGTTTCATTGTATTTTGTTTGCTTGCATGCTGTTTCCACGATGTCCTATCTCGCCACTGTGTTTGGTACAGGCTTGCTGATGAAGAGGTGACTGACGAAGTATGAGTACCTCTACTGGTTACCAGGTATGCTTACCAGGCTGTTTTGCTCTGGTGTCTATAGCTTGGTCTTTTGCAGTGAAATTTAATACTCGTGTGTATTTGAGCAGTCTCACTTCTTCCAATATTTCAATTGGTCGCCTCGAGCTTGTGCCTGCTTAGCAGAATTCTTTCCAGTCGCAATAAAGTTGCAACAGTTTTGGGCTATAATTTCACAATCTTTAGTTTGTTAAAAATTTTTACTCAAGGGGCAAGTTTTCTTGTTGCTTGATAACATTTATTCTGACTTGCGCCACGTAGTATATCTTTCTACTATTTCTTATTATGAACAACCATGTGTAATTGAAAGCTTTTTCGGCAAGAAATTAAATGAATTATTAACTTTTGGCGCTTTTCTTTAGCCTTCCATCATTATTTATTCCTCTATTTAAGCCATGCTATAAGAATAGCGGTTTTAGTCTGAGAATGAAGGCTCTTGAGACAAAAATACTGCTGTGATAATGCCTTTGTTGCAATTCATCTTGCAGGTTTTTATAGTTGTTGTTAAAGTAACAACTTTCTTGCCTTTCAAAGTTGTTGTCTTTTTCTATCTAAAGACTGGTCCATTTTGCTCAGTTTTGCTTGATAATTGGGCGCAGTTTATTTTTGCTCTTAATATTTTTGTTACCTCTGATGATGCTGGCAGCTCGGGTATGTGGGTATTTCGTAACCTTGAACGTTTCACGGATATGTGGCCAGAGCATAGTGAAGTTCTTCAGAATTGTGGTCAAGGAAATTATACCTCCTTAAAGTGTCACGTTTTTCATAAGTTTCTCGGGTGAGCAATGAGATTGTTGCACTTAAAGAGTTTTCCTTCTGGAATTGTTGTTGGCAGTGCTCCTCAGATTAAAACATTTTCATGTTTTGCTGGTGTTTCTTTGCATGGTACGGAATCTACCTTTCATTGTTGCGTCGGTTCCTTTCATGATGGGGGTCAACCATCTTCTACTGGAAATTTATGTTTGTTATATCTGCCGTAAAATCACATTTTTGTTATGCATGGTGTCTTAGACCCTTTGTTAGCTTTTTTTTATACCCATGGTTATTAAAGGGGTATTTGGAATTGAAATAGACTTATAAGCTGCTTATCACCCCCAAAAATGAGTTAGGTTTTTTTCGTTTTATAGGGAGCACATTGCTAAGACTAGTAACAAATTTAGTAATGTAGGATAAAAAATTCAACATTTCGGTACATTGACGAGTTGATCAGTTGACGTTACTTATGTTTTTAAACCTGGGTATGTATTGCTACATAAAGCTTACAATGAGCCCTAGTGTTCAAAATTTTTATGATAGCAATAGCAAATAGGGGGCGAACCTCCTCCTTCCTGCCCTACCCCGATTTTTAACTCTCGGTAGTGATCCTATATGAAAGATTGATGTTGAGGCGTACTACACATCTTCTTGTTTGATACCATAGTGATATGGTTCCAAGCAGTTGTAACTACTCTGGAAAACATCGTAAATCCCAAAGGGTTTTAAGCCCTTCGATTCCTTTTGAATATCAAAATGACCCTTCTCCCCTGGACTTTACCACCATCCCGTTTTGTGAAATAACCTTTTTTTAATAATAGATATTTAAGGGGTATTTATGGTGAAATAACCGTTTTTGTCATGATTGTTTTGCTCAAGGAGAGCAAGTTTAAGAAACTGTTACATTGAATTATTTTAACTCTATCGTCGTGTTTTGCTCATGTCGAGCGGGCTGGTGTGAATGAGTGTCTCGGGTAGAGCTAGTAACAATAAGTGTCATTGCTAATAGTGAACCTTTTTCTGATTTGATATTTGAATTGCCTTTTAGTTTTGGCTCTCCTTTTTTGGTTCTTAGGGTGAATTTAAGATTTCAGACCCTTGATAACTTGATAATCTGATTCTTATCGTTGATGGGTTTTTGTCATTAGGATTAAGGTTGTTTAGTGTTTTATAAACCTCAAGTGCCAACGTTCTAACTCTTTGGATATGAAAATCTAGCATGTAAGTCTTTGTTGGATCATAAACAGTCCAAATAGGCAGGTCGCAATGCCCTCTCGCTATTTTTCACTAGTATGCTCGCCTAGAGCTTATATGAATGATTGTGTTTGCTCATGTTCACCAAAATTGAGTTGTTGCTAAATTACCTTTCTATTATTCTATGATTGCTTTTGCTCATGTTGAGCAAGTTACGAATGAATGCGTTTCTAATAGAGCAGGTATTTAATGAGTGTGTTTGCTCTTCTTTTGCAAGTTTATAGTATCGTGGCATTATCTTTTTAATGTTCTATGGTTGAATTTTGCTCACGTTGAGAAAATTTGAGTGAATTAGCTGCTTGTGAAGAGCAAGTATTATTGATTGTGTTTGCTCATGTTGAGCAAGTTTAACTTGTTGCTATGATATATTTCTATCATTCTTTTGTTGAATTTTGCTCATGTTGAACAAGTTTTAAGTGAATGAGCAGCTCGTGTAGAGCTAGATTTAATGATTGTATTTGCTCATGTTGAGCAAGTTTAACTTCTTGCTATGGGATATTTCTATCATTCTTTTGTTGAATTTTGCTCATGTAGATCAAGTTTAAGTGAATGAGCTGCTCGTGTAGAGCAAGTATTAATGAGTGTGTTTGCTCATGTTGAGCAAGCTTATCTTATTGCTATTTTATATTGTGCATTGCTCATGTTGATCACGTGTGAGTGAATAAGTTGCTCGTGTTGAGCAAGTTTAAATTATTTTTGTATTATATTTATATTTATCCTTTTATTGTAATTTGCTCGTGTTGGGCAAGTTTGGATTATTGAGTTGCTTGTATTGAGCAAGTTTAAATTATTGTTTTAATATTCATATCATTTTTTGATTGTGTATTGCTCTTGTTGAGCAAGTATGAGTGAGTGAGTTGCTCGTGTTGAGCAAATTTTTGAATTATAGCTATATCATATTTCTATATTCTATGATTGCATTTTGCTCATTTTGGGCCAGTTTGATTTATTGAGTTGCTCGTGTTGAGGAAGTTTAAATTATTGATTTAGTATTATTACATCATTCTATGATTGTGCATTGCTCATGTTGAGCAAGTTTGAGTGGATGAGTTGGCTCGTGTAGAGCTAGTGTTAATGAATGTGTTTGCTCGTGTTGAGCAAGATGAAAGTTTTGCCATATTACTTTTCCTTTATTCTATGATTGTATTTTTGATCGGGATGAGCAAATTTTTGAGTTATTGAGTTGCTCGTATTGAGCAAGTTTAATTATTGTTGTAGTTCTATTGTTCTATGATTGTATTTTTTGGCTCATATTGAGCATCTTTGAGTGCGGAAGTTGCTCTAGTTTAGTAAATTTTAAATTATGGATATATCATATTTCTATATTCTATGATTGCATTTCGCTCATATTTGAGCAAATTTTGAGTAATTGAGTTACTCGTGTTGAGCAAGATTAAATTATTGCTTTACTATATAATTCTATCATTCTTTGATTGTGCACTGCTCGCGCGTAGAGCAAGTCTTTATGAGTGTGTTTACTCATGTTGAGCAAGTTGAAGCATGTTGCTTTTGCTCATGTTGAGCAAGTTTGAGTGTGTGAGTCCCGCTCTAATTTTTGAGTGACTAAATTTCTCAGGTAAAAAAAAATCCTCTCAGGTAGAGGAAAAGTTGGGGTACTCTATGAGGCAGAGAGTTTATAATCGTAATCGCGCTCTTTTGAGGGACTGAATAAAACGTGGTTTCGTCCAGGGGCGGACTGGCTAATTTTTTTGGCCCGGGCAAATTATGATCAAACCGGCCCACAAAGATAGCGAATAAAAAGCTACACGGAAAATGCAAGTAAATGTTAGTCTGTAAGGAAAACAAGTTTTTAAAT